AGGCAGATATACAGAGAGGAGAGACAGAGAGCAAGATCTTCCGTCCAATGATTCACTCCCCAAGTGAGCGCATCGGTCGATGCTATGCCGATCCGAAGCCAGGGGCCTCTTCCGGGTCTCCCTCGAGGGTACAGGGTCCCAAAGCTTTGGGCTGTCCTCGACTGCTTTCCCAGGCCACAAGCAGGGACCTGGAAGGGAAGTGGGGCCACCGGGATAGAACCGGCGCCCATATAGGATCCGGGCGTGCAATGTGAGGACCTCAACCACTTGTGCCACCGCGCCGGGCCCTCTTTGCTACCTTTCTTCCTCCTTCCTATCCCTGGTCTTCACTCTTACCAACCTGTAGCAATCACAATTCTAAGTTTGCAGCTATTTTTTTACATTCATATATGATAACATGTTAGTTTGGTCTACATTTGCCTTATTTTATCTCACTACATCCATTTCCATCTATTTTGTAACAAATAAGAATTTTTTTGTTTTAATGACTGAATACAGTCTCTTAATATTCATATAGGTTTCACTATTAATAACATCGGGGGAACAAATGAAATCTAGAATCAAATTAATTTTGTACCTTTTAGTTTACTAATTTAGTATGTGTTTATTTCTTTGCCTTTTATTTTCTTACCTTGTCTACTTTACTTGGGTGAATATTAAATTACATAACAATAAAAAGTAGTCATTCTAATTTGGTTACGTATCTTATAGGAAATGCTTTTGGTTTTTTGGCATTCATTTGTGTGATGGCTATAGGTTTGTTATCTATAGATATTATTTTATTGAGTTCTATTTCTGTGTACCTCAACTGAGGTAGATTTGGAAGTATTTATAGATTTGTAGATTTCTTCAACTTACCTATATAAGTTATTTCAAAATAAATGTAGAAATTCATTGAGTGCTTTCTATAAGATAATTTTAATGATGCTTGTTCTTCATTCTGTTAATTTTCATTTATTGGCCCATTTTCTACATTCTCTAGTTAGGTGCACCTTGGCTAGTACATGTGAGCTTATTGTTGTGATGCTTCATTTGTTTTACATATATTATAGAAATGTTTTTATTAAAGATTTATTTATTGCAAAATCAGATATATAAAGTATAGGAGAGACTTAGATGGTTTTCTTCCCAATGGGGAAGCGTCGGCTGCTGGGATTATAACCAGTGACCATATGGCATCCTGGTGCATGCAATACAAGGACTTTAGCAACAAGGCCACCGTTCTCGGCCCTGTGATAAGAATTTTACATCTATTTTATCAGGTAATTGGTCTATGCCTTTTAAATTATTTTAAGCTAGATTTCTGGACTGTAAGCAATTATTTCAGAAGGAGCATTAAGTAAATATATAGAGAAATCATTGTACAGCAATGGAGATTGCATTTTTAATGAGCAAATCCATCTCCCCCCCCCCTCACCATTTTAAACAGTCAGACATAGAAGATCTTCCTACTGCTGATTCAGTCTAGTTTAGGAATCCAAGTACTGTTAGGCTCAGCATAATTATGGAATGGTTTTCTTCATTTTAATTTTTTACCATAATTCTAGAAAATTTGGTGTTAATTTGGTAGAATTTAGTAGTGAAGACAACTAGTGTTGACCTTTGGTTTGAAGAGATTTATTGCTGATTCATTAACTGCCTATTTTATCAAGTTTTTTGGTGTCTTTCTGATTCAGTTTGTAGCCTAATGCTAAGTATCCAGAAATTAAGCATTTTGTATGATTTATTTGTTTATAACTATTGTTTACACTCCCTAGGGATCCATTGCACATCCATTTTTCCAGTGAAGATTTATTTTATCAGGCCTGACATGGTGGCCTAGCAGCTAAAATCCTCACCTTGTGCATGCCAGGATCCCATAGGGCAACGGTTCTAATCTCGTCAAAGCCGCTTCCCATCCAGCTCCCTGCTTGTGGCCTGAGAATGCAGTCAAGGATGGCCAAAAGCCTTGGGACCCTGCACCCGCATGGGAGACCTGGGGGAGATTCCTGGCTCCTGGCTTCAGATTGGTGCAGTGCCAGCCATTGCAACCACTTGGGTTGTGAATCATCGGACGGATATCTTCCTGTCTCTTCCCCTCTCTGTATGTGTGACTTTGCAATTAATAAAAAATTGTTAAAAAAATTAATTTATCGATATGCAAATCAGAACTATAGAGAAAGAGGGAGAGTTAGAGAGATCTTCCTTCTGTTTTAATCCCTCTCTAAGTGACCACAATCGTTAAAGCAGGACCAGTTTGAAGCTTCTTCCCAGTTCTCCGAGATCAATACAGGGAATCAAGCATTGGGACATCCTGTGCATTCCCACATGCACTAGAAGGGAGCTGGATCAGAAAGAAAGGAGTTATGCCTTTGCAGTGACCTAGTGGATAAAGTCCTTGCCTTACACATGCTGGGATTCCATATGGGTGTTGGTTTTAATCCTGGTGGCTCCACTTCCCATCCAGCTCCCTGATTGTGGCATGGGAAATCAGTGGATAATAATAATAATAATAATTTGTCAAATACCAGGACACAGGAAGTTCCATGTGTTGTTCAATTTGGCAACTTTTATCTTTAAAGCTCCTTGTGACCTTAACAACATATACATCCCCTGTTCAGTACAAAATGATCAAAGGACCTCAGTAGGTAGTTCTCAAAATGTAGCCATTTGAGAAATGTAAATCAAAATCACAATGAGATATCTCAACCCTGTCAGAATGGCTATTATTATTTGGAAGAAATTGGTAACAATTACTGGTGAGGATGTCAAAAATGGAAACTTTTATACATTGCTGATGGAGTTATAGATTAAGTCAACATGTGAAAATAATATCAAATTTCTTAAAGGTTTAAAAATAAGATTGCTGGGCTCAAAATGGTAAACTAGCAAGCAAATTCCTTGCCTTGAATGTGCTGGGATCCCATATGGGCACCGGTTCAAATCCCAACAACCCTGCTCCCCATCCAGCTCCCTGCCAGTGGCCTGGAAAAGTAACCTTGGGACCCTGTACCTGCATGGGAGACCTGGAAGAACTCGTGATTCTTGGCTTTGGATCAGCAGAACACTAGCCATTGAGGCCCTTTGGGCAGTAAATCATTGGATGGAAGACCTTCCTCTCTGTCACTCTTTGTCTCTGTATATGTGACTTTGCAATCAAAATAAATAAACCTTTAAGAAAAAGCTTAAATTAAATAAAAAAGATTAAATTTCAATAAGACTGCTGTAAGTTTACATTTTCACTACTAGTTGTATTTTCTGAGTTATGAACATGTTGTATGAAAGAGATACCATCTTTTTTATAGCAGCACTATTCATAATGCACAAGATGTGGAATGAATTGAGGTGTCCATCATTAGATAATTGAATAAGGAACATGTAGCATATGTGTAAATGAAATTCTGTGTATTATATCAAAGTGAGTGTAACTAGAGTGCAAGATATTAAGTGAAATAAGCTAAATACAGGGCCTGGTGTTATGGCCTAGTGCATAAAGTCCTCGCCTTGAACACACCAGGATCCCATATGGGCGTAAATTCTAATCCCAGCAATCCCACTTCCCATCCAGCTCCCTGCTTGTGTCCTGGGAAAGCAGTGGAGGACGACCCAAAACCTTTGGACCCTGCACCCATGTGGGATACCCGGAAGAAGTTCCTGGATTCTGGCTTCGGACTGTCATAGAATCAGCCTTTGCGCTCACTTGGGAGTGAATCATCAGATGGGAGATCTTCCTCTCCCTATATCTGACTTTCTAATAAATAAATAAATTTTAAAAAAAAAAAGAGTAACAGGGTAAAAGGGAGGATTCAAAAGAAGTATCATACTGTTAAATGTATGTGTATCTGCTACATTCGCTGTTTTTATGTTAAAATTTAGTAAATAAATTACTGGAACAAAAGGCAAACCCAGAAAATTGGTAGATGCTAAAGGGCTTCGAGAATATTTAAAAAAAAAATTAAGTTTGCTGCAGCATGGCATTTATCTTATATGTATACCTTCTGTTCAGCTGGCAGGCTGTGACTGGCTAATATGAACTAATTGTCTGAAGAAGATAGTTCTGTATGAGACTATCATTTATTTCCTTCCTAAGCTGTAGTTTACTATGTGGAAATTAAAACTTCAGTTTTATTATGTTATTCCATACAAAGTAAAGTGAAAACAAAGTGGAAAGTTTTAATATGTGCATACTCAAAAGTGAAAAAAAGAAAAAAAAAGTATAGTTTTATATTTATACACTAGAATTACATGTATATGTATTCCATATTGTTTTGTCTTTTGAGGATGTATGTATATGTGTATTTTTGATATATATGATCATATATTATATATATTTAATTCCAGTATAAGCTGAAGGAAATATTTACTCATGCAAGTAAAGTTTGAAAATGTATTCAGTATTTCATTATTTCACTGTGAAGCAGGAAAATTGAATTTTATTATTGCTTTATAATTTTAAGTATCTCTATGTTTGAGGAAATCATTAGTAAGCTACTCAATTTTCTCGTTATCTTGTACAATAGTAAGCATTTATCTTAATTATCTAATGTAGCATATTTAGCTCATGTGTATCTAAATATTGTATAGTGAACTCATTCTATGCTTATAAAGAAAACAATCTGATACAGGATAATAATGATATTGTAGCATCAGAATTGCAAGCATGATACAGGACAACATGGTTTATTTTGTTTTTACCTTATGTTGCCATATAGATGTAAATTAAGCTGCATTCCTAGAAGATGCAAATTGAACACACACTGAAGAATTAAACACAGCTTAGTGTTATAGGTCCTGAGTTAATATTTTGGCTCCATGTCAACATGATTAGTTATCGTAATTTAGTTGAAAAGCACAGTGGCAATAACGGACACACAGAGTGATATCTTCCACTTGGAGAGCTATTCTAGCAATGCCTTCCACAGTTCATTAGAGTGAGAATTTTTAGAGAATATAATCTTTAAGAGAATAAGGAATATTCTGTTGTACCTTTGGAATTGCAAAAGTGATATAGCACAAAATATTTTCATTTAAGTATGATGCTGTATGAATTGTAAATTAAACTGTCCATAGAAGTTGCAAATTAAATATACAGAGAATGTACTATCAGTGTTTCTATTGAATGATCCAGAACTGAGGAGACATGTGCTGGTACAGGTGTTGGTGTCCTTTGAAGATGTGGCTGTGGACTTTACCCAGGAAGAATGGCAGACAATGGACAATTCTCAGAGGGCTCTGTACAGGGAGGTGATGCTTGAGACCTATAACAATCTGCTGTCTGTGGGTGAGTGAAGTTCTGTCATGCCCAAGAAGAACACTTCTGTACCATTTGATAATGAAAGAGGAGTTTGAAAGTGTAGTAGTTGGTAGGACCAGTGGTGATTTCAGAAAATCTGCATCATTCTCCATTAACAGGATACTCCATGACAAAGCCTGATGTGATCTTCAAGTTGGAACAAGAATCAGCACCATGGATAGTGGAGAAATCTGTGAATCAGAGACTTCCAGGTAGGTCAGCAGGGAAGCAGATACTTCTTTCAGTAAATGTTGACTGGAATTATATTTGAGTTTAACTTTGAGTTTCTTCCAGAAGGAGAGCCGGTGAGACACAGGTATTCTATAGTCTCCATGAATAGGTTTATTCTAGCAATTTGCCAGCCTGTCAGCATAAATTTAGAAGTATATATTTGTCTTGAATCACATCTACCACCTCCCAAGATACATTTTCAGGAAGTTGTATTTGAAGCAGAGTAGCCAGGAAAAGACAAACTAGTGCTGAGATTGGATGTAACATACCCCAAGATTTATTTTATATTTTTATGACATATTTTCTCTCATATCCCACTTTATGTGAAACACACAATGTCACATAATTGAAATTTTAATTTAAAAAGATGGGTATTATGTTAAGGCATTCATAGATGAGATATATTGCCTAGTTAATAATGCTTATAAATGTCTACATTTTACTAATACTAAAATATGCTGTATCTAGAATGGCAATAAATTTCATTGACTTCACTTGAGCATTTGAAAACACTACATTTAGATGTGATTCATACATATGATTACTCTTTTCCTCATTTCAGATCCCCATGGAAAGAATGAGCTGCTTGGAGCTAAGCAGAAAGTTCAAGAAATAATCTTCAGGTAAGTTGTAATCTGAAAAATTATAGAATACCTAAAATGAGAGCTGCATTGCCACAAAGATGCTTAGCATTATCTCTGGCCATAAATGAAACACAATATGAAAGGGAAATTGTACAAAAATGAGACTTGAGAAATAGGATTTCATTCTTTCCCTTTTTCTTTCTCTCTCTCTTTTTTTTTTTTTTTTCATTTTCAGACAGAAGTTTTATTTGGAAAGTGACCAGGTGAATGTAGGAAGCAGAGGGAGGAGATCATGTGCCTGTTGAATGGAGACAGCAATGTTTTTCAGAAGGGTCTCAGATTTTTAAGTGTCCTATGAACATTCCTTGTCTGTACAGGAACCTGTGTGTAAGACACTTGCCATTGGTTTTTCTCAACCAACAAGGAAATAGCTGCTACTACACAGCTTCAAATCTGCACAGGCCATTCTTTGGCTGTTCAGCTCTCCGAGGTAGGAAGCCACATGAGTGACAAATCTGAAGAAACTGGCTTTTTCTGATGTCATGTATAAAGTATAGAGGGGGTCATCCACATAAGTCATTTCTAAAGATCAAACCTGAGGGCATGGCATGATAGCCTAGTGGCTGTCCTTCAGCTTGCAAGCACTGGGATCATATATGGACACTGGTTTCTGCCCTGGCAGCTCCACTTAATATCCAGTTCTCTGCCCATTGCAGGTGTCCAGATTAGCCAAGTTCAGAACTTAAGAAGGACGCGTGGAGTAGGCATAGAAAATAAATGGACCACTACAGTTTCAGGATCATAATGGACAATTCAAGAAAGCTGTCCTCTTTCTTTGTACAGAAGCCTTCACGAACCGTGACACCCACTTTTCACACCTGGTCAAGCAGGCCTTCCTAAGGATAGTTCTACCAATTATTTCACCTTGAGGCAGGATATCAGCTGTCCTAATCCTGTGGTCAGGAAGTTCTCAATAGATGGTACATGTCAATCAGTAACACATTCCTATTACTATTCTGATGCTCCAACTTAGTCTTGATTCAGTTTAGGGAGGAAGTACATCACAGAAGGAGGGACCTAAAGACTAATGAAAGAGGGAAAGAATAGATTTCCACTACATATAAGGACTTAATATCCTTGATTAGCATGTGGCCAATGTAGGAGGACAACCCTAAGCCTAGGTTCCTGCTAGGTGTAGGGACTTAACACCCTTGATTTTCATATGATCAGAGGGGCAGCTGAGGGAGCAGGAATAATAAAAGACCCTTTTGCTAAGATGGTATCACCAACATCATCTTCTAAGCACACACTAATCATAAATTCAACTCCACAGTGACAGACAATGCCTAATTACAAATATCTCTGTGGGCTTGTCCAGTGTGTATGCAAAGGGAAATGGAACTGCTTTTCAGGTGGTTGTAGAGACATCCAGCTGGGCCTTGCCATGCAGCGGAAAATTCCTTGTGGCCTTGCCTGCAATGGAAAAGTTCTCTTCACACCTTCATGTCTTTCACATCCACTGCATGGACCTCAGCAGCCTGTGGTCTGGGAAAGCTGGTGAGGACACCCCACATGCTTATGGCTATACAGCTGTGTGGGAGACCCAGAAAAAGCTCCTAGTATTTGGCTTTGAAACAGCTCTGGCAGTTGTGTATTTTTGGAATGTGAGTCAGCATTTGGAAGATCTTCTTGTGTGTCTTACATCCTCTCTGTATATCTGAATTTCCAGTAAATATAAACACAGCTTAACAATAAAAACTCAAACCAAAGTGAATATTTGGTGATGTCTGGACTCTCATCCCTCCTTCAATGCTGATAAACCAGTGTGAAGTGTGAAAAAGGAGCCCAGAACTTTGGTCCCATGTCAGGTAGTTGAGATTCAGGATCCACTGAAGGAGCTTCAAGTCATGCAGAAAATTGGCCTCTTGTGTCAATCCTCCAACAGTTTCCCAAGTGTTAGGACCCAGAGACTTGCTTCTAAAATGAAAATTGACATGATAGCAAAAGTGAAAATAGGTAGTTGGTGATTAAAGCCTCTAAGGTCCTAAGGTGTTATACTTCTTATCTCCTCCCCCACCCCCCACATCCTAAAAGCACAATGAGTCTGGAGGTTTAGGTGGAGCTAGACAGTGACTGGAGGTTACGTTGGTGGATGTGTTCATGTTAGTGCAGAGGCACGGTGTGCCAAGGGTCATTTCCAATGGCTCAGTAGAAATCTTGTGGAGTCTTTGCTAAGTCCAGCCACATAGCTCTATGTCCAACCACTGGACTATGTGAAGAGCTGAGTCTTGGCCTTCCTGGGCTCAAAAGGCTTCGCCCTTCCTGGTGAGTACACTCGGAGTGGATACATTGGGTACAAGGCAGGCCTAGACTCCACCCACCTCCAACATCATGAGGTGGGTGGGACTAGGGGAATGCAACTTAATCATTTTTTTATGAGTTGGGTTTCTGTGTATTGTGTGTGTCTGTGTGTGATTTAATTGCACTCAATGTGTGTTAAAATTGGTATTATCATTTGCAAATCTTCTATTTTTCTTTCCTGTTTTAGGTCAAGGCTAAATGATATTCAGAGAAGCTATACTAGGCCTCCCAACCATCCTAGTACTTAAGGATGGGTACTGGACCCCTGATACCAAACTAGGGTGTCAATATGGCACACCCCCCAACATTTCTTTCCCAGTGGTTCTTATAGTTCTGAAATGGGGTCCATCTCACTGATTCAAGCAAGAGGAAACCCTTTCAATGTTCATTGGCTGACATGGTTGACCTTAGGGTCTTCTTTCCTCCAGATATTTGCTATCATCATTTGGCTGAGGTAGTTATTCCGTCTGTTCTTCCTTTCTGTTGGATGTGCTTTCCAGGCCTCAGTGGGCTGCCATCTCCAGGTGGATCCAGGCCAGTTGTCCAATACTCCTTTTCAACTAAGGAGTCCTTACAAGAACTGAGCCAGTCAATCCTGCCCAGTGGAGCCCCACCTTCAGTGCTCACTGAGCTAGCACCACCATGCAGGCATGTAAAGTATCCAAGCCAGGTGACCTGAGGCCTGCCACATCCTCTACTACCAGGACTTGCAGACCCAGGACCCATTGCACTGACCAGCCAAGGACTCAGGCCAGGCAACAGAAACCACCACACATGCAGCCACTGGGGTTCATAAACTGTGCTTATTGCACAGCTGTGCCTAAGGTCCCAGACAAGGCTACCAGGGACCCAGTGGATCTCCTTCACGCAGGCATTATGAGTCCAGCACCAACATCACCCTGACTGCCACGGCTTGCCTCAACTCATTTTCCACCAGCATGTGTTGCAACCTGGCTCAGTCTTGTCTTCCCCCACTTCCACTTCACGTTGCTGTGTGCTGTGGCCTTTCCTAATACAATCCATCTGGAGGTTTAGCCGGACCTAGGTTGTGGCTGAGGATTGCATGGGTACGTGGGTGTGTTCATATTTTTCAGAGGCATGTGTTGAAAAGGTCATTTCCACAGGCTCAGTACAAATGATGTGGAATCTTCTTTTTCCTAAGTCTGCGCTCATTGGTGTTGTATAAGAGCCAAAATACTTTTTCAAGTCCCATATTGTGCACCAAACCAAATGTTACCAGGAAAGCTCAGTGAATCTTTCCTTTAACATGGTGTAGAAACAGAAAATGGAAACTAGTCTAATTATTACTTGTTAATGGACCAGTTGAACTTGGAAGAGGGGAGGAGGAAAGCAACTCCCAGGAGGGGCTCAGAGATCTAATGCCTTTTGAAAGGAGAGAGGAAATGACATCATAGTTTATTTTAATTTCTCTTATCCCATAGGAAGTCTGATGAAATGCCATTTGAAAAGAAGCAGGCCTCAGTTGTTCCTGAGAACAACCTCGAGAGTGAGAAAAATCTCAGTCATCTTGACAAGATCCACATTTGTCAGCAGTCCTTTGAACACAATGGGAAAGAGAAAGCTTTCAGCAGGCAGAAGATAGTCCTTACGTGTGAGCAAGTTTATACCAAAGACCTATGCAATCAGCAACCTGTCAGTATGGGAGAAGAAATTCATGTTGGCTACTATAAATCTTTCCTTACCCCCAAACAGAGAACTGACTCAGGAGAAAATCTGTATGTGTCAAATGAATGTAAAGAAATCAGGAACCAGAAGTCAGAACTCATTAGAGTTCAAATCCTTCAAATTGCAGAGAATCCGTATGAATACACCGAGCATGGAAATTTCATTCAGCAGCAGTTATCTCTCATTAGGCATCAGAGAACGTACACAGGGGAAAAACCTTATGAATGTACTGAGTGTGGAAAAGCTTATATTTGTAAGTCACACCTCGTTAGGCATCAGAGAACACACACGGGGGAGAAACCTTATGAATGTAGTGAGTGTGGAAAAGCTTTCATTTATAAGTCACAGCTCATTAATCATCAGAGAATCCACACAGGGGAAAAACCTTATGAATGTAGTGAGTGTGGAAAAGCTTTTTCTCAGAAGTCACACCTCATTAGGCATCAGAGAACACACACAGGGGAAAAACCTTATGAATGTAGTGAGTGTGGAAAAGCTTTTATTCGTAAGTCACACCTCGTTAGGCATCAGAGAACACACACAGGGGAAAAACCTTATGAATGTAGTGAGTGTGGAAAAGCTTTTGCCAGAAAGACAGAATTCGTTTATCATCAGAGAGTCCACACAGGTGAAAAACCCTTTGAATGTAGTGAGTGTGGAAAAGCTTTTGCCAGAAAGACAGACTTCATTCATCATCAGAGAATCCACACGGGGGAAAAACCTTTTGAATGTAGTGAGTGTGGAAAAGCTTTTATTCAAAAGTCAAACCTACTTAGGCATCAGAGAAAACACACACGGGAAATACCTTATGAATGTAGTGAGTGTGGAAAAGCTTTTATTTGTAAGCCACAGCTCATTGCACATGAGAGAATCCACACTGGGGAAAAACCTTATGAATGTAGTGAGTGTGGAAAAGCTTTTGCCAGAAAGACAGAATTCGTTCATCATCAGAGAATTCACACAGGGGAAAAACCTTTTGAATGTAGTGAGTGTGGAAAAGCTTTTGCCAGAAAGACAGACTTCGTTTATCATCAGAGAGTCCAACAGGGGAAAAACCTTTTGAATGTAGTGAGTGTGGAAAAGCTTTTGCCAGAAAGACAGACTTCGTTTATCATCAGAGAGTCCACACAGGGGAAAAACCTTTTGAATGTAGTGAGTGTGGAAAACGCTTTTCTTGTAAGCGACTCCTCCTTAGACATCAGAGAATACACACAGGTGAAAAACCTTACAAATGTAGTGATTGTGGAAAAGCTTTTCCCACAAAGTCAGAATGTGTTCATCATCAGAGAATACACACAGGTGAAAAACCTTATGAATGTAGTGAGTGTGGAAAAGCTTTTCTTCGTAAGTCCACCCTCGTTAGTCATCAGAGAATCCACTCTGGGGAAAAACCTTATGAGTGTAGTGAGTGTAGAAAAGCTTTTCTTCGTAAGTCACACCTCGTTAGTCATCAGCGAATCCATACTGGGGAAAAACCTTATAAATGCAGTGAATGTTGAAAATCTTTTAATAACCACTCAGGTTTCATTCATCATCAGAAAATGCACACTGGGGTAAATCTATGAATGTAGTGACTGTGGAAAAGCTTTTATTCGTAAGTCACACGTCATGAGGCATCAGAGAATCCACACATGTGAGAAACCTTATGAATGTAGTGAGTGTGGAAAAGCTTTTATCAAAAATCACACCTCATTAGTCATCAGAGAATCCACACTGGGGAAAAACCTTATGAATGTAGTGAGTGTGGAAGAGAATTTCCTGATAAGTCAACATTTGATTACATCAGAGAATACACACAGGTGAAAAACCTTATGAATGTAGTTAGTGGGAAATCTTTTATTTTTAAATCATACAAATAAAAGTAAGAGTATAATCTAATATATCTCATTAGACAGCAGATAATCCACACTATGGAAAAAACTTATGAATGTGGTGAGTGTGAAAAAGATTTTTTCATGTGGCACACATTATTAGACATCAGAGAATCCAAAGTGTGGAAGAATCCTTTTGAATGTCGTGAGTGTGGAAAAGCTTTTTCTCATATGTCACACCTAATCATAGATCAAAGTATCCACACAGGAGAAAACTTATGAATTCATTGTGTATCTTAAAGCCTTTACTTACCAAACAGGTTTCATTTGACATCAGGAAATCCATACAGGATAAGAAGCACACGAATGTATTGGGTTGAAAATCCTGTTGCAAGCAGTCAAGTTTTGTTAAACATCAGAATTCACATAGGGAAGCACGAATGTATTACATGTGTGTTAAAATTCACCCAAATGTTTTGAGCACAGTGCAAAGCATACATGCTTTAGTAATTAGCATATTCAAAGAAACGGGCAAACATACTGCATTGAATGAAAAATCATTTTTATGAAGTCAATTTTTTTTCAGAGTCACGGACCTCAGCACTACAAAAAATGTAGTCACAAAGAATAGCTGCCATAAACCTGTTATTATTGTCTGTCAGAGCTTATAAAGTGAATGAAGAAAGAACCATTAGCAAGAGTGCAAATACAAAACATTGTAAAAGGGCAATGGATGTGGAAACATACTTTGAAAGTCTCAGCAAGTGTTTATTAAACATGAGGAGTACCATTTTATTTCAGAATCGAGGTTATTTCTTACTAAAATAATTAAGATGCAAGTTGTATGTAATCTCCCTTTGCTGTGAGGTTGTAAATGGGAATTCTGCTTTCAGATTTAATGTTGATACTAAATGCTCAGTGTATAACATTTGCTTGAAATACCATGTTTCTCATTTACACATTTATTTTTTTTAGAATCTCAAAATTCCTCATCCTATTACAGAATTATATTGGAATCACAAATATCAAGTCATGCATGTGGCAGCTGTAGTGATAAAGACCCAGGTGTGAAGGATGAAACTTGTGCAGAGACAAGATTCTTTTGTGAGATCTGGCCAAATGTGGATCCTATTTGGCCACTGTCTCCTTGAATAATAAGTATGGCAGATTGCTCCTGCATCTCTGCCTGCTTATTCCATGCAGGACGCCATAGGCACATGGCACACTGTGTCTCCAAGGCAAAGCCCTGAGAGTGGCCTCAGCTAACAAAGACTGCATCTTGGCCTGTTCACTGGGCATACATCCCGAGTAGTAGCACGCTGTATCCCAATTTCTCAGTCCCTGCGAAGCTGTGCCAGAATTTCCTTGATAAGCAACTCTGAGAAGTGAAATGTAACCTTTATTTTGTTTACCAGTCACATGTAATGATCATACCCAAAGGCATAGCTTTCAGCCCAGGTGCTAGCTTATCTTGGTCTACCTGCACATGGCCTAAAACATTAAGCTCCCAACCCTTTAACAGAATGTAAGTGGGGACTTGATTAGAATGTCCAGAGAGATAGGCATGCCTACTGGCAAGATACAATAACAGTGTAGGGTGGGAGTACTATCGAGACCACCTTTCTGCCTTCCCTCTACATTGTATACATATGCTTGAATGATGTTTTCAATAAATGGACATCCCTCACCAGT